ATGGACAATTCCTTCGACCTCATTGCTTGCTTTTTGCTCTGACATGCACTGTCAACTGTGGGACCTTTTATATAGACAGGTGTGTGCCTTTCCAAATCATGTCCAATCAATTGAATTTACCACAGGTGGACTCCAATCAAGTTGTAGAAACATCTCAAGGATGATCAATGGAAACAGGATGCACCTGAGCTCAATTTCGAGTCTCATAGCAAAGGGTCTGAATACTTATGTAAATAAGGTATTTTTTATATTTTATTTTTATAAATATACAACAATTTTTAATAAATGTACAACAATTTCTAAAAACCTGTTTTTGCTTTGTCATTATGGGGTATTGTGTGTAGATTGATGAGAAAAAAATAATATTTTATCAATTTTAGAATAAGGCTGTAACTTAACAAAGTGGAGAAAGGGAAGGGGTCAATATTTTCCGAAGGCACTGTATCTACAGAAATAAGACAGATCCTGCTTCTGTTTGAGTGTTTGTTTAATAGCCTACTGATTCCGTGAGCACCAAGTCTCAGGCAACCACAACATGTCAGATAAACAATTTCACATATTCGGCTGTTTTTAATCTTTGCTATGCTGTAATAAAGGCTTTGCACTTATTTTGTTAGAACAGCCTCTCTGGTATTACCTGTAATTTATTTAGTGTTGTTTACACCCTTCCAAATTGTCAGGAAAATAATATTTATAATAATAACCCTCCTTTATCTTGATCTCCTTATTGTTATTATTATGATCATTATCATTATGTCGTCATCATTAGGAGGCTTAGTATATCAGCCTTGTGTCACCACCATCGAGCTGTGGGCCAAAGAGCACATTCTGTTTAGTCCTAATACCGTAACTTACTTAGGCCTATATTTCAATACTTATATAGGCTACTGTATCATTCATTCGTTCATGTCATCACACAGCATATGAGTCATTCATGATTTGAAATGCAATCAGCTGGTAGAGCACGGCGCTTGTAACGCCAAGGTAGTGGGTTCGATCCCCGGGACCACCCATACACAAAAAAAAATGTATGCACGCATGACTGTAAGTCGCTTTGGATAAAAGCGTCTGCTAAATGGCATATTATTATTATTATTATAATCAAGCATTTTCGTTTTAGAATCAAATAAAGCGACCCTTAAATAATTAGCGTAAACAATAAATAAACCTTTCCATTTCGGAAATTGCATTCACGAAAGAATGTGACTGTTTTTAGTCTTTGCTGTAATAAAGGCTTTACAAAAAACAAGAACAAATTACAACACTCTCTGGTACACTTATTTAGTGTTGTTTACCTTGTTCCAAACTGTCAAAAAATGATATTGTAATCTAACAGCACCTGTTTGGCACACACGCAGCGCTTGCTCCTTAGCTTATTTTTCTTGATCTCCAGTATTTTCCACAGCTAGTCAAATTTATTCCACACATCCGACTTCCCCTTTACCTCTTGATCAACGAATAAACATTCCCCCGTTTAGAGTTTTTGCCACGCCCTCAGCATCCATTTTTCTGTCACGTGTTCAGAGTTAGTTATAACCAATTTATTGATGTGATTATGATATGCTATATATGTATCTATATCCACAGTTTAACAAGTCCTATATCGACATAACCTGAAAGGCCGCTCAGCAAGGAAGAAGCCACTGCTCCAAAACCGCCATAAAAAAGCCAGACTACGGTTTGCAACTGCACATGGGGACAAAGATCGTACTTTTTGGAGAAATGTCCTCTGGTCTGATGAAACAAAAATAGAACTGTTTGGCCATAATGACCATCGTTATGTTTGAAGGAAAAAGGTGGATGCTTGCATGCCGAAGAACACCATCCCAACCGTGAAGCACGGGGGTGGCAGCATCATGCTGTGTGGGTGCTTTGCTGCAGGAGGGACTGGTGCGCTTCACAAAATCGATGGCATCGTGAGGAAGGAATATTATGTGGATATATTGAAGCAACATCTCAAGACATCAGTCAGGAAGTTAAAGCTTGGTCGCAAATGGGTCTTCCAAATAGACAATGACCCCAAGCATACTTCCAAAGTTGTGGCAAAATGGCTTAAGGACAACAAAGTTAAGGTATTGGAGTGGCCATCACAAAGCCCTGACCTCAATCCTATAGACAATTTGTGGGCAGAACTGAAAAAGTGTGTGCGGGCAAGGAGGCCTACAAACCTGACTCAGTTACACCAGCTCTGTCAGGAAGAATGGGCCAAAATTCACCCAACTTATTGTGGGAAGCTTGTGGAAGGCTACCCGAAACGTTTGACCCAAGTTAAACAATTTAAAGGCAATGCTACCAAATACTAATTGAGTGTATGTAAACTTCTGACCCACTGGGAATGTGATGAATGAAATAAAAGCTGAAATAAATCATTCTCTCTACTATTATTCTGACATTTCACATTCTTAAAATAAAGTGGGGATCCTAACTGACCTAAGACAGGGAATGTTTACTAGGATTAAATGTCAGGAATTGTGAAAAACTGAGTTTAAATGTAGTTGGCTAAGGTGTATGTAAACTTCCGACTTCAACTGTGTGTGTGTGTGTGTGTGTGTGTGTGTGTGTGTGTGTGTGTGTGTGTGTGTGTGTGTGTGTGTGTGTGTATATATATATATATATATATATATATATATATATATATATATATATATATATATATTACAGCAATAGTTGAATAGGATGGCAAGTCTGAGCACATTCTAATCAATTGCGGTCGGACTACCTCTGGTAATTTGTGTGTCTTGATTATTTAATCAAACCGTGCTCTTAAAGCATCAGACAAGCTCAGTGCATATAGTTGATTTGATTAAAACACATAGGATGTCTATATATGGAAAAATACACGTTTCAAAATTTCAACCAATCGATTGGCTGTTTAGAATGTTTTCCCAGGTGCACTGTTTAGAATAGTGTTTTCCCGCAAATTGCATTTTGGCAAGTATTTGAAAATGACTTTTTGTTGGCTGCTTCATTACATGAGTTGCATGTTCTGTTAAGATGTATTACCATAATCTAAATGTGATTTCTGTCATTCTGAGCACCGTGGGTGGACGCCCTAATGGGTTATGCACCCAATACATTTGGGTCTGGTACATTTCTCAAATTGCCGGTAAATTAAACTCTTCTTGGTCACGTTGTCCGGTGCCACATTTTCCTAATGGAAGCCCTGGTGTCAGCTATGACATGACACCTTGAGTTTGAAAAAATCTATTTTGGTTATTGAAGTACAGTAAGTGAAGTGGATTTACACCCGGTAACAGAATTACGGTAACATAATTTCATCATGGGTCCCTGATCTGTACTACAGAGAAATGCATAATTTTGAATATGATATGAATGTCGTTCTTTTCATGGTGATGTACCCTTAATAGGTACACAAAGGTAGAAATATGCAATATCCTCCTTTGCATATTTGGGTATTAGTAGCAAAGGGGGGACCAACTCCATAATAATACCCATGATTTTGGAATGAGATGTTCGACGAGCAGGTGTCCACATACTGTTGGTCATGTAGTGTACATTACATGACCAAAAGTATGTGGACACGTACACTACATGACCAAAAGTATGTGGACACCTGCTCGTCGAACATCTCATTCCAAAATCATGGGCATTAATATGGAGTTGGTCCCCCCTGCACTCTTCTTGGAAGGCTTTCCACTAGATGTTGGAGCAGTGCTGCAGGGATTTGCTTCCATTCAGCAACAAGAGCATTAGTGAGGTCGGGCACTGATGTTGGGCGATTAGGCCTTCCAATTCATCCCAAAGGTGTTCGATGAGGTTCAGATCATGGCTCTGTGCAGGCCAGTCATGTTCTTCCACACCGATCTCAAACCAAGCTGCAGTTGAGACATGGATTGTGTATGTGTGCCATTCCGAGGGTGAATTTGCAAGATCAAATATTGAAGTGCCTTTGAACGTGGTATGGTAGTAGGTGCCAGGCGTACCGGTTTGAGTGACGCTCAAGTTTCCTGTGTGTATCAAGAATGGTCCACCACCCAAAGGACATCCAGCCAACTTGACACAACTGTGGGAAGCATTGGAGTCAACATGGGCCAGCATCCCTGTGGAACTCTTTCGAATTGAGGCTGTTCTGAGGGCAAAAGGGGGTGCAACTCAATATTAGGAAGGTGTTCCTAATGTTTTGTACACTCAGTGTGTCTACAGAATTTCAAGTTTTAATCACTTAATAATTCATAAACAATGTATATCAGTAAAAACACGAATTGTTACTTCTGTGAACTTTATTATCCTCCCTCATGAGGGAGAGACATTTTAAAATATCTTAAGTGCAATATGTTGCTAAAATTCTAATAGTTTGCATAATTTCAGTTTATGTGACAAAACAAGCCGCCATTGTGTAGATAATCAATCTAAACAGCTGTACAAAACCGAAAGTAAAATAAGCAAAAATCTAACTTAGGAATGGGAAGCATAGAAAGGGCGCACATAGAACAGATTTATAGCATCTTAGACATGCTTTCAATGAGTGACAGATCTATAACTCATATTTCTATGTGAATTTGGTCGGGTCGACCAAAAAGTTACATATTGCAGCTTTAAAAAATATTTGGGTTTTTGGTAATGGAATTTCAAGAAACAAGGGAATGTTTCTTAAACTTACAGAAGGCAGAAAGAATTGTCCTAAACTAAATATATGTTGATATTGGCAGGGGTCTTCAACATTTGTCTTTTGATGTATTTCTAATCTTTTAAGAGTTTTTCTGGTAGACGTTTTCTGAGACCCCTTTTCAATCTGTTTGACAAGAAATCAAAGCCTTTTGCTTTTACACATTTTTAGGATGGAACATTTTTGAAAAATGTATGTCTTAATTTCCAAAAAATATAGACTCTTAGCTTTTATTTGACTCCCAATTTCACATGCTCCTATGAATTTCACATGTTGGTGCTCATGGGTCCTTTAACATGGAAATTACCGATTGTATTGTTTGGGAGCATTCGCTTCATATTATATCTCCCATTCGTTTTGACCTCTCTTCCCTAGGTTTGGCTCCCTGTAGACGGTGATGGCGCCAGGCGACATGGTGCCGGAGCATGCCAAGCAGCATAAGCTCAAGCAGGAGAAGGAGAAGCGTCAGAGCACCACCAGGCCTGATGGAGACTGTGAGCCAGATGGATCGTTTGTCTTTGAGGCTCACGAGGCATGGAAGGACTTCCACAACTCCCTGCGCCAGTTCTACGAAGTGGGGGAGCTCTGTGATGTCACACTGAAGGTAGGCAGAGTATGGTTTAATAGGGTTGTCGCAATACTCTTCATACTCAGTTAGCTATATCATGGCAGGAAAAAGTAAGTAAACATGAAACAGACGTGTCATATGTGACAAAAAAGCCTTTTCATGTCTGTTTTTGTGAAGTTTGGTGGAGACCAGTTAGGCCTATGGAATTAGTTTCAATCGTTGAATAGCTGGTGAAAGCCATCGTCTCTTTTAAAATATTTTTAGGCACAATTTAACCAACTGAAGCTTGTGGAATGAATAGCTCAGGGAATGAGTAACTTTTGAGCTGACATTAACCTATTTCCGTCCTTTCTCCCTCCCTCTCTCTGTCTTTCTCTCTGTTCTCCCCGTGTTCAGGTGGGCAGCAGGCTGATACCATGCCACAAGCTGGTGCTGGCCTGTGTCATCCCATACTTCAGGGCCATGTTCCTGTCTGAGATGTCAGAGGCCAAACAGGACCTGATAGAGATCAAGGACTTTGACGGAGACGCCATACACGACCTGGTGCGTTTCGCCTACTCCTCCCGCCTGACCCTGACAGTGGACAACGTGCAGCCCCTTCTCTATGCAGCCTGTATACTGCAGGTGGAGCTGGTCGCCAGGGCCTGCTGTGAGTATATGAAGGCCCACTTCCACCCCTCCAACTGCCTGGCTGTCCGCACCTTCGCCGAGAGCCACAACCGCGTCGACCTGATGGACATGGCGGACCGCTATGCGTGCGAGCACTTCCTGGAGGTGGTGGACTGTGAGGACTTCCTGTGCGTGTCGCCTCAGCACCTGAGAACCCTGCTGTCCTCCAGCGAACTGAACATCCACTCTGAGACACAGGTTTACAACGCTGCTGTCAAGTGGCTGAAAGCCAACCCCCAGCACCATGAGGCCTGGCTGGACCAGATCATGACTCAGGTCAGATAGTAGTCTCACACAGCTCAGCCTGGACTGTTTGGGGAGCTTTTGCATTTCAATGAATTCTCAGTTGTAGGTATGCTTGTTGGTGCTTATGTGTTTCTGTGTGTACATTGACTTTGTGTTGTCTGTTTATGGAGCTTTTGCATTACCACTACTCGTGTGTGTGTGGTGTTTGAATCTGTGCTGTGTCTGTGTTACCGGCTGCCCTGCAGGTGCTTCTGTGTTTATGTCCGAGTGTATGTTAACTCTGTGCTACAGTGGGGGAAAAAAGTATTTAGTCAGCCACCAATTGTGCAAGTTCTCCCACTTAAAAAGATGAGAGAGGCCTGTAATTTTCATCATAGGTACACGTCAACTATGACAGACAAATTGAGGGAAATAATTCCAGAAAATCACATTGTAGGATTTTTTATGAATTTATTTGCAAATTATGGTGGAAAATAAGTATTTGGTCACCTACAAACAAGCAAGATTTCTGGCTCTCACAGACCTGTAACTTCTTCTTGAAGAGGCTCCTCTGTCCTCCACTCGTTACCTGTATTACTGGCACCTGTTTGAACTTGTTATCAGTATAAAAGACACCTGTCCACAACCTCAAACAGTCACACTCCAAACTCCACTATGGCCAAGACCAAAGAGCTGTCAAAGGACACCAGAAACAAAATTGTAGACCTGCACCAGGCTGGGAAGACTGAATCTGCAATAGGTAAGCAGCTTGGTTTGAAGAAATCAACTGTGGGAGCAATTATTAGGAAATGGAAGACATACAAGACCACTGATAATCTCCCTCGATCTGGGGCTCCATGCAAGATCTCACCCCGTGGGGTCAAAATGATCACAAGAACAGTGAGCAAAAATCCCAGAACCACACGGGGGGACCTAGTGAATGACCTGCAGAGAGCTGGGACCAAAGTAACAAAGCCTACCATCAGTAACACACTACGCCGCCAGGGACTCAAATCCTGCAGTGCCAGACGTGTCCCCCTGCTTAAGCCAGTACATGTCCAGGCCCGTCTGAAGTTTGCTGGAGTGCATTTGGATGATCCAGAAGAGGATTGGGAGAATGTCATATGGTCAGATGAAACCAAAATAGAACTTTTTGGTAAAAACTCAACTCGTCGTGTTTGGAGGACAAAGAATGCTGAGTTGCATCCAAAGAACACCTCATGCTTTGGGGCTGTTTTTCTGCAAAGGGACCAGGACGACTGATCCGTGTAAAGGAAAGAATGAATGGGGCCATGTATCGTGAGATTTTGAGTGAAAACCTCCTTCCATCAGCAAGGGCATTGAAGATGAAACGTGGCTGTGTCTTTCAGCATGACAATGATCCCAAACACACCGCCCAGGCAACGAAGGAGTGGCTTCGTAAGAAGCATTTCAAGGTCCTGGAGTGGCCTAGCCAGTCTCCAGATCTCAACCCCATAGAAAATCTTTGGAGGGAGTTGAAAGTCCGTGTTGCCCAGCGACCGCCCCAAAACATCACTGCTCTAGAGGAGATCTGCATGGAGGAATGGGCCAAAATACCAGCAACAATGTGTGAAAACCTTGTGAAGACTTACAGAAAACGTTTGACCTGTGTCATTGCCAACAAATGGTATATAACAAAGTATTAAGAAACTTTTGTTATTGACCAAATACTTATTTTCCACCATAATTTGCAAATAAATTCATTAAAAATCCTACAATGTGATTTTCTGGGAAATAATTTCTCATTTTGTCTGTCATAGTTGACGTGTACCTATGATGAAAATTACAGGCCTCTCTCATCTTTTTAAGTGGGAGAACTTGCACAATCGGTGGCTGACTAAATACTTTTTTCCCCCACTGTATATATCTGTGTGTCCTGTAGGTGCGCCTCCCCCTGCTCCCAGTGGACTTCCTGACGGGCACGGTGGCCAAGGAGGAGATGATCAAAGGAAATCTGAGCTGCCGGGATCTGCTGGATGAGGCCAGGAACTATCACTTGCACCTCAGCAACAAGGTGGTTCCTGACTTTGAGTACTCAGTCCGCACCACGCCTAGGAAACACACTGCAGGTAACACAGACTGGTAGCCTGTCCAACTATTAAACAATCAGCTATGTGATACGGTCGAGCTTGTACAATGCAGAACAATGATAAAGGAAAAGCTGGAAATCCTGCAGTTCTTCTTCATGTCACTTGTATGTATTACGAGCCTGACATAATGAAACCTTCAGTCTTTGATTGAGTGTATATTAATATGTTGAGCTGGCATTGCAGAGTGTTGTTTTTCTCACTGGTCCTGCTCTGACCTTTGCCCCCCACCTCTCCTCAGGTGTATTGTTCTGTGTTGGTGGCCGGGGAGGTTCTGGTGACCCATTTCGCAGCATCGAGTGTTACTCCATCAGCAAGAACAGTTGGTTCTTCGGGCCTGAGATGAACAGCAGGAGGCGCCATGTTGGAGTAATTTCTGTAGGAGGTGAGAGATGGAGGGATGAGGGAGGTGAAGGGAGAGAATTGGTGAATAGATGTGTGTTGGGCACAGAGATGGATATAGGACTCTAGTGGCCAAAAGCCAGTTTTCGCATGGGCAGCGCCATTGAGGACTTTCACCACTTTGAAGGAGTCAACTAGGTGGGACTTCCAATTGGTTAAGGAAGGATCATATGACTCCAACTGGGTCATCAGGAGGGATCAGCCAATGAATTATACTTGTGAAGAAGAAAATGGACTACTTCAAAACGGAGATGGCTTCAATGGCGTTGTCCATGCTCTCACAGACGCCTTAATTAGACAGAAACAGTGATGCGATGTCTATCATGTCTATGGTGTTGGGAGAACAGTAGGGATGTAGCGATTCACCGATACGCATTGGTCCCCAGTTCAAATGTTTAAGATGCAAGTGCATCAGTCTGCAGGAGCCCAAACCGATCCAAATGAAGCATGTATTGGTAAGAAAAACGATTTAAAACATTACGACTCGCCGGTTCACTAACGTTTTTTACTCATTATTTTTTTCTGCCTTATTCCAAAAATACTTATCTGTTGAGACGGAATTGATGTGTCCTCTCCTTCAGCCTATTGAACTTTTATGCATGTAACTGCGTATCTACATGTCAGATAACAACTGTTTGCACAGTGCGGGAGATGCAGCTGCTTGTGCCAACGAGAAGTAGGCCTGACCTATCCCTTTTTCTAATAAACGTAGGCTACATCTGTGCGGCACCTTTAGCATTCAGATGTTTGTAAAATGGCTTTTGCAATATTAAATCAAAGGCTTTATTAATTGAGGGAAAACCAATGTAATTTGCTGGGTCATTGTTAGCAAAATGCTGTGTAGGCTACCGGAGTGGACACAACTCACATCTTGCTGATTGCACATCTAACTGCTGATTGGGGCTTTGTGATTGCCAGATTCACCAGATGAAATGTTTTTGGTAGTTCTGCTTTAAACACTGTTTTACATTAACAGGGTAAAGGTGTAATTTCATAACAAGGACAGCAATAATTTTTTGCGAGCCGCACTGGTCGGAACGAGCTCTCCTCTGTAAAGTTTAAAACGGTCAAAACCATTTGCTTTTGAGACGGGGGTGAAATCCAAAGCGGTGTTATAATAATTGGCTATGTATGCCATAGTGGTTCACTGACATTATCGGCTGATATTGGCCTTTTATGGCTATATCGGTATCGGACGATAACGTCACCGATTAACCGATATTCAATAAATAGAATGAAAGAAGGGAATATCATGCTTATCTGAACACATGGCCATTCTCATTATGTAATTTATGTAACAATGTAAGAAATCAACATTTGAAGCATATTTCTTGGACAATTGCTCTTTTGGATGGCAATTTATGAGAATTCAATGTGGAAAAACTACACCATCGGCAGATATAACGGTATCGGTAATCATCCCGCCCCCCATTTTTTTTGGGGGGGGGGAATCAGTATCGGACCCCAAAAAACATATAGGTCTGGCTCTAGTCATAGCTAATTTCTAAAGAATTTGGAAAGGCACACACCTGTCTGTAAGGTCCCACAGTTGTCAGAGCAAAAACCAAGCCATGAGGTCGAAGGAATTGTCCGTAGAGCTCCGAGACAGGATTGTCGAGGCACAGATCTGGGGAAGGGTACCAAAAAACTTCTACAGCATTGAAGGTCCCCAAGAAAACAGTGGCCTCCATCCTTCTTAAATGGAAGGAGTTTGGAGCCACCAAGACCCTTCCTAGAGCTGGCTGCCCGGCCAAACTGAGCAATCGGGGGAGAAGGGCCTTGGTCAGGGAGGTGAACAAGAACCCGATGGTCACTGACAGAGCTCGAGAGTTCCTCTGTGGAGATGGGAGAACCTTCCAGAAGGACAACCATATCTGCAGCACTCCACTAATCAGGCTTTTATGGAAGAGTGGCCAGATGGAAGCCACTCCTCAGTAAAAGGCACATGACATCCCGCTTGGAATTTGCCAAAAGGCACCTAAAGATTTGTGATTTGTGGTATTCCAGATATAATCATTGACCAGTACCTGTCCTGAAATGTGATCAGTAGGCCTACCTCTAATCCTAAACCATAAATTCTACATCCTAGAATTTAGGATTAGTTACGATTGTTTCCCCTGCACAGTTGAGTTCAGTCTAATATATAGTCAGGTTATGAGGGTCTAGTAGTCCTAACCTTGTGTTCCTTGTGTTCCTTAACTTGTGTTCATCTTGGTCCTCTAGCTCAGTTGGTAGACCATGACGCTTGCAACAACAGGATAGTGAGTCTGTTTCCCGGGACCACCTGTATGTAAAATGTATGCAAGTATGACTAAGTTGCTTTTGATCATAAAAAAAAGGCATTATTTATTCTATCCCTCATCAGGTAAAGTGTATGCAGTAGGGGGCCATGATGGTAGTGAACACCTGGGCAACATGGAGATGTTTGATCCTCTCACCAACAAGTGGATGATGAAGGCTTCCATGAACACTAAAAGGTATGTAATGTCTGGCAAAAGGCAAATTAAGTCTCTAATATGAGTTACAGAGATTGTGTTATAGAAATGTAGTTTTACAGCCAATCATAAAGATCCCTAATTATAATCCTACTCACACTCATATACTACGCATACTGAACTATTTTCAATGCTGTGCTGTGTGAAGGAGAGGCATAGCTCTGGCAGCTCTGGGAGGTCCTATCTATGCCATCGGGGGTCTAGATGACAACTCCTGTTTCAACGATGTAGAGAGATATGACATGGAGAGCGACCGCTGGAGTGCTGTGGCGCCCATGAACACGCCCAGAGGTGGAGTGGGCTCTGTGGCCTTAGGGGTGAGAACAAGACAGTCTAGACACCTGGCTGTACTGACCATATACTATTATGGATCAAGTGTTCATTAGGGCACACCATAGCAACATTTTCCAAAATGTTGTACAGCAGAAAAATAGTGTTTCTTTCATTCAGATAGTTCTGCACTGTTTTGTGCCTAGTGAACACGACCCAGGTGTTACATCACATTTATACGTACACTCATGACATCCTCAGATGCTTTTATAACCATTTGATATCATTGACATTGAGTAAGGAGATTTTATCCCTCGTGCTGTTTGTGATTTGAAGTCTGTGTTCCTGTGCATAATAACAGGCCATAATAACAGTTAACCCTATCAGTCCAGAGACCCCAGCAAAAATCTGCTTTTCATTTATCTGACTTTCATTTACCTGCATGTCCAGCTCTAGTGCTGTATTTAGCCTCACAATGAAGAGTTTTACCATTTTCTATTCAGGACAACCAGGACTACAAGTAAAACAATTTGACATAAACAGTTGCATTCATGAGTTTTATTGACAAATATCAATAAACAAATAAGGTCCCTCAAAGCAAAAACCTGATAAATGAATGTATTTGAATGTACAGAAATAGTTTGCTCAGTGGGAAATTAATATACAACTAGTCAGTGACAACTGTGTGGAGTTTGTGACAGCAACTATGTGATCTTATTACAGTATTATAGACACTATGTCCTGGGATTTCCTATGATCTTCTATGTAGAAGAACCCATTAACTGTAGCTTGTGAGCATCATTAGTTACATGTGCGTGTTTGGGAGAATCTCAGCTTTTCATACATAGCTTTTAATAATGTGTAGCTCAAACCATTCGGACTCTACAGACATTTCTGTAAAAAGACCCGGTCCCGGGCCCTTGTCTCACAAACACCACTCTAGCTCAGCCCCAGTTAATCACACAGACTAATGGATGCAGAAGAAATAGACAAATCCAATGGTACAACCCAGAAGTCTGTAGCTCAAACACACAATGTTTAAAAGGGATTAGAAGTCCAAATCACACTGGTGTTGTGGTGGGACTTACTGGGTTAACCCTCTCCTCCCCTGTCAGAGTTAGACCTATATGTTAACACTCTCCTGTCCTGTCAGAGTCACGTGTATGCTGTGGGGGGTAACGACGGTGTGGCCTCTCTATCCAGTGTGGAGAGGTTTGACCCACACCTCAACAAGTGGACGGAGGTCAGGGAGATGGGCCAGAGACGGGCAGGGAACGGAGTCAGCGAGCTCAACGGGTGCCTCTATGTAGTGGGTAAGAACACAGCTCAGCACCACTGCATTTACATTTTAGTCATTGTGGGGGGGGACTATGGATCTGTCTCCGTACGTACGTTAGTCACATGCGATATCTGACACCACTGGCCCGACGTTTACGAAACTTGAGTGAATGATGTGTCTTGCCATAGAGATCTGGCATTAAAAAAATTACACTGATTGGCCCAAGGGGGGACGCTATAGTAATCGACTGGAATTACAAACTTTGAACAAACATTTTTCCTGTCCCGTTGAATAATTGTCACTAATTGGCCCATCGCCCTGAGAGGGCGCTGCAACATTCGTGGGGGAAGACATGTTTACTGTTGCCTTGTTTAGCAGATGGTCTTATCCAGAGTGACTTAGTAGGTAAAACAACCACATATCGATTCACCACATCATTGGAAACAAAACCTTCTCATATTTCACATCATTCCAATGGCCGCTTATTGCTATGGGTCACATGGTTCCCACCCACTCACACACCACTACACACAACAGCTGTTGGCTTGTAAACATGAAACAGGAGAGAGAAAAGTTCATGTTTTGTCAAGTTGGTTGCTAATTAAAAGCGATCCATGAGGATGGGGTGATTTTATTGTGTTTTATTGTATAGTTTGCATGAGTCAGCATTGGTGTGTTTGTGGAGGAGGAAAAGCTACTGATAACCTCAGTCTATGCATTGACCTCAGTGGAGGGAGTAGATATTTTATTGATAGTCTGCAGCTTCACTGACAGCATAATGCTATTCAAGACTTATAACAAGATATTGGATTGATTTGCGACTTAGAACTTAGTGAGTGCATAGATTTGTAGTATGTTTGTGATCCCTGCGGGAATTCAACCCAAGACCTTGGCGTTACTAGCACCACACTCTTACCAACTGAGCCAGCTATACAAGAGTACATCTTAGCCATGTATCTGATACTGTCTGTCTGCGCTGTCAGGTGGCTTTGATGACAACTCCCCGCTGAGTTCTGTGGAGCATTTTGACCCCCGTCTGAGTCGCTGGGACTACGTCTCTGAGCTGACCACGCCCCGGGGTGGAGTGGGTGTGGCCACGGTTATGGGTCGCGTGTTTGCGGTCGGAGGTCACAACGGGAACATCTACCTCAACACAGTGGAAGCCTTTGACCCCCGCATGAATAGGTGAGATGGAGAGGGGGGATAGGAAGGGGTTCTGTTCAGGTGAGACAGATGGGTTGTACCAGGTCAGCTAAATCAAGTGCACCCATTTTATAAAAGAGTATCTCTGGCCTACTACACCACCACCTGTACACTGGACACCTTTACAGTATCCTGTTTGTTTTTGTTTTTTTACAGTTGAAAGGAAATTCTACATTTTGGAGCAGCTAGTCTGATGTACAGTGGGGAGAACAAGTATTTGATACACTGCCAAATTTGCAGGTTTTCCTACTTACAAAGCATGTAGAGGTCTGTAATCTTTATCATATGTACACTTCAACTGTGAGAGACGGAATCTAAAACAAAAATCCAGAAAATCACATTGTATGATTTTTAAGTAATTAATTTCCATTTTATTGCATGACATAAGTATTTGATCACCTACCAACCAGTAAGAATTCCGGCTCTCACAGACCTGTTAGTTTTTCTTTAAGAAGCCACCTTGTTCTCCACTCATTACCTGTATTAACTGCGCCTGTTTGAACTCGTTACCTGTATAAAAGACACCTCTCCACACACTCAATCAAACAGACTCCAACCTCTCCACAATGGCCAAGACCAGAGAGCTATGTAAGGACATCAGGGATAAAATTGTAGACCTGCACAAGGCTGGGATGGGCTACAGGACAATAGGCAAGCAGCTTGGTGAGAAGGCAACAACTGTTGGCGCAATTATTAGAAAATGGAAGAAGTTCAAGATGACGGTCAATCATCCTCGGTCTGGGGCTCCATGCAAGATCTCACCTCGTGGGGCATCAATGATCATGAGGAAGGTGAGGGATCAGCCCAGAACTACACGGCAGGACCTGGTCAATGACCTGAAGAGAGCTGGGACCACAGTCTCAAAGAAAACCATTAGTAACACACTACGCCGTCATGGATTAAAATCCTGCAGCGCACGCAAGGTCCCCCTGCTCAAGCCAGCGCATGTCCAGGCCCGTCTGAAGTTTGCCAATGACCATCTGGATGAACCAGAGGAGGAATGGGAGAAGGTCATGTGGTCTGATGAGACAAAAATAGAGCTTTTTGGTCTAAACTCCACTCGCCGTGTTTGGAGGAAGAAGAAGGATGAGTACAACCCCAAGAACACCATCCAAACTGTGAAGCATGGAGGTAGAAACATCATTCTTTGGGGATGCTTTTCTGCAATGGGGACAGGACGACTACACCGTATTGAGGGGAGGATGGATGGGGCCATGTATCGCGAGATCTTGGCCAACAACCTCCTTCCCTCAGTAAGAGCATTGAAGATGGGTCGTGGCTGGGTCTTCCAGCATGACAACGACCCGAAACACACAGCCAGGGCAACTAAGGAGTGGCTCCGTAAGAAGCATCTCAAGGTCCTGGAGTGGCCTAGCCAGTCTCCAGACCTGAACCCAATAGAAAATCTTTGGAGGGAGCTGAAAGTCCGTATTGCCCAGCGACAGCCCCGAAACCTGAAGGATCTGGAGAAGGTCTGTATGGAGGAGTGGGCCAAAATCCCTGCTGCAGTGTGTGCAAACCTGGTCAAGACCTACAGGAAACGTATGATCTCTGTAATTGCAAACAAAGGTTTTTGTACCAAATATTAAGTTCTGCTTTTCTGATGTATCAAATACTTATGTCATGCAATAAAATGCAAATTAATTACTTAAAAATCATACAATGTGATTTTATGGAATTTTGTTTTAGATTCCGTCTCTCACAGTTGAAGTGTACCTAGGATAAAAATTACATACCTCTACATGCTTTGTAAGTAGGAAAACCTGCAAAATCGGCAGTGTATCAAATACTTGTTCTCCCCACTGTATATTGATCTGTGTTGTGTGTGTTACCTCAGATGGGAGCTGGTGGGGTCGGTGTCTCACTGCCGGGCCGGCGCAGGAGTGGCTGTCTGCTCCTCGCACATCAGCCAGATCAGGGACGTGGGCCAGGGCTCCAGCAACGTGGTGGACTGCATGTGACCTGTGATCCCTGAGCTGACCACATCGACCGACTGCACAAGAGCAGACCAACCCAACCCACGCACAAGCACTCAACCACACTGCACAGTCACTGAACAGGAGCACTAGCTGTTGTTCCTTTTAAGCGCTGACTGTAGGCTTCTCCCTAAAGAATGTAAGAGGGGTGCTGCGCCACCTTGTAAACTAGCTGTGCCACTGTGGGGGGGAAAAAATACAAAAAGTTTTACTGTATTTTCTTTGCTTCTTTCGACTGCTTTGGTTCTTTATCAAGTGAAAATGGCTGATAGTTGAGCTTTAGACGTCATATTAGACAGGCCTTGAATATCAACTTGAAGAGGAACTTTAAGAGTAACCAGTTCGGAAACTATTCAGACCCCTTGACTTTTTCCACATTTTGTTACGTTACAGCCTTATTCTTAAATTGATTAATTTGTTTTTCCCCCCTCATCATTCTACACACAATACCCCATAATGACAAAGCAAAAAGAGGTTTTTAGACATTTTTGAAAATGTATAAAAATAAAATAAAAATAAAATATAACATTTACATAAGTATTCAGACCCTTTGCTCAGTACATTATTGAAGCACCTTTGGCAGCGATTACAGCCTTGAGTCTTCTTGGGTATGACACCACAAGCTTGGCACACCTGTATTTGGGGAGTTTCTCCCATTCTTCTCTGCAGATACTCTCAAGCTCTGTCAGGTTGGATGGGGATCGTCGCTGCACAGCTATTTTCAGGTCTCTCCAGAGATGTTCGATCAGATTCAAGTCCTGGCTGGGCCACTCAAGGACAGTCAGAGACTTGTCCCGAAGCCACTCCTGCGTTGTCTTGGCTGTGTGTTTAGGGCCGTTGTCCTGTTCGAAGGTGAACCTTCGCCCCCCAGTCTGAGGTCCTGAGCGCCCTGGAGCAGGTTTTCATCAAGGATCTCTCTGTACTTTGCTCCATTCATCTTTTCCTCGATCCTGACTAGTCTCCCAGTCCCTGCCACTGAAAAACATCCACACAGCATGATGCTGCATCCATCATGCTTCACCGTAGGGATGGTGCCATGTTTCCTCCAGATGGGCCTCTGGAGCTCTGTCAGCTTGGTCACCTCCCTAACCAAGGCCCTTCTCCCCCGATGGCTCAGTTTGGCCGGGCGGCCAGCTTTAGGAAGAGGCTTGGTGGTTCCAAACTTCTTCCATTTAAGAATGATGGAGGTGACTGTTCTTTTTTTTATTTTTTATTTTTTATTTTTTTTATTTTTGGGGGGGGGATGGATCAGCTTAATATTGCAGATAGATTGTATCTTCTATCAATGTAATTGTCTGCATCACTTCCAATCCCCCATGTTTTTTTTTAAATTTTTTATATATATATATTCCCCTTTATTACTTTTCAACCCCACCATCCTTTCCCTACTTGGAGTAAATTAGTGAACAACAACGCCCAGGCCTCTACTTCCGGTCTATAATTACTATCTACACCTTATGGACAGAGTTAATTTTACAGTAATTCTATATCCATATATATATATATATATATATATATACACATATATACACATACACACATACATATATATACACATATATACATATACATATATACACACATACTTACATACATACATATATATATATATATATATATATATATATACATATATACATACATACATACATCTATTTATTTTTTTTGCTCCTGAAACTTCTTCTACTCTAAACCTCTCCGATCATTTTCATGATGTCCATCCGGTTTGCTTCTAAATGCCATATCTTTCTAACTGTGCTCTTTCCCAAAAGCTCCCAACATACAACCTATATACTTATTATGGACACAGTATGCTTACATTATTAGCTATCTTTGTTATTATTTGTTGTTATTTGTTATTAGTCTGTGACTGTGTTCTTGGGGACCTTCAATGCTGCAGACATTTGTTGGTACCCTTCCCCTAGTCCTTGCCTCGACAAAATCCTGTCTCGGAGCTCTACGGACAATTCCTTCAACCTCATGGTTTGGTTTTTGCTCTGACTTGCACTGTCAACTGTGGGACCTTATATAGACCAGTGTGCCTTTCCAAATCATGTCCAATCAATTGAATTTACCACAGGTGGACTCCAATCAAGTTGTAGAAACATCTCAAGGATGATCAATGGAAGCTCAATTTCGAAGTCTCATAGCAAAGGCTCTGAATACTTACGGTATTTTAGTTTTTAATACATTTTCAAAAATGTCTAAAAACCTGTTTTCGCTTTGACATTATGGGGTATTGTGTGTAGATTGATGAGGGAAAACAATGAATTTAATACATTTTAGAACAAGGCTGTAACGTAACAAAATGTGGAAAAAGTCAAGGGGTCTGAATACTTTCCGAATGCTCTGTCAGACCTCACTTTCACATTCATCACTATCTGGTAGATAAACTGAGAGCTCTTCATAGGTTCCTAGCAGTCTCTCACATATAAAACAGTGTGAGAGAGTGGATTGTGAAACTGTGAAATAAAGACTCAATAAAGAGAACCGTGTTTGGGATAGAAATCAGTTGACATTCTTTTGATTCATTTTCAGTTTGTTTTAGGATTTTGGGGCATTCTATCAGTTCCATCTGCAAAGGCTCAGTGATGCTGAAACCTCTTCAGTGTTAGCATTAGCTAGCTGTAGCCTCTATTTGCGTTTGAACAATCATTCCTGACAGACTGAGTCTCATTGGTATGTATAAAACTATGGAAGTCTTTTGCAGAGTTAGATTAATTTGTGCTGCAATAAAATAGGTTGAAGCCTGCCTTTTGTTACCAGACTGAACGTGTGAAGTTTTGAAATGGCTGAGGGACTAGTGCTACCCCTCTGGACACACAGTCTGGGGTCTTAGCAGAGTGCTACCCCTACTCTCTGTGTTCTACCCAAAGATAGCTGGGCTGTCAGTAAACAAGTGTGCTTTCAGACGTGTGAAGAGATTAATCTTCTATCTGCCAAATGGTTAAGATATATTTTAATATATGGAGTTTTGTATTACGAAATCAGTGTGTATCTTTGGTGTTATTCTTTACTATATATCTTGGATTTATTGTTGTGCACTAATTTCCTGGAATAGTCAGGGGTTTGAACATACAGTATTTTGTCCTATGGCAATTCTGATGCTATTTTCAAAATGTTTTTACAGTGTCTGCTCTTTTTTTTAGGCTTTGAGTGTGAAGCTTGTTCCTCACCCTTATTTTCTTGTATATCCTCCTGGCCATTTTAAAGCATTTCAGGCAATTCTGGATTTATTGTAAGACTGCTGTTGGTCAAAAAATGGACTGAAGACTTTGATTTTTCAAACAAAGGTGATATAGAATATAAAGAACACCTGCTCTTTCCATGACAGACTGACCAGGTTTTTCCAGGTGAAAGCTATGATCCCTTATTGATGTCACTTGTTAAATCCTCTTCAATCAGTGTAGATGAAGGGGAGGAGAAGGATTATTAAGCATTGAGACATGGATTGTGTATGTGTGCCATTCAGAGGGTGAATGGGCAAGACAAAAGATTTAAGATGTCGGATCACTGCCTCAAGCTGAACCTCGGCAAGAAGGAGCTGCTCTTCCTCCCGGGGAAGGACTGCCCGCTCCATGATCTCGCCATCACGGTTGACAACTCCATTGTGTCCTCCTCAGAGAGTGCAAAGAGTATTGGCGTGACCCTGGACAACACCCTGTCGTTCTCCGCTAACATCAAAGCGGTGACCCGATCCTGCAGGTTCATGCTCTACAACATTCGCAGAGTACGACCCTACCTTACACAGAAAGTGGCACAGGTCCTAATCCAGGCACTTGTCATCTCCCGTCTGGATTACTGCAACTCGCTCCGTGCCTGTGCCATTAAACCCCTACATCTTATCCAGAACGCTGCAGCCCGTCTGGTGTTCAACCTTCCCAAGTTCTCTCATGTCACCCCGCTCCTCCGCACACTCCACTGGCTTCCAGTTGAGGCTCGCATCTACTACAAGACCATGGTGCTTGCCTACGGAGCTGTGAGGGGAACGGCACCTCCTTACCTTCAGGCTCTGATCAGACCCTACACCCAAACGAGGGCACTACGTTCATCCACCTCTGGCCTGCTAGCTCCCCTACCTCTACGGAAGCACAGTTCCCGCTCAGCCCAGTCAAAGCTATTCGCTGCTCTTGTGGAACAAGCTCCCCCACGACGCCAGGACAGCGGAGTCACTGACCACCTTCCGGAGACACTTGAAACCCTACCTCTTTAAGGAATACCTGGAATAGTATGAAGTAATCCTTCTTCCCCCACCCCCCAAAAAATTAAAAAATTAAAGTGGTTGTCCCACTGGCTATCATAAGTTGAATGCACCAATGTCTAAGTCGCTCTGGATAAGAGTGTCTGCTAAATGATGTAAATGTAAGTGCCTTTGAATGGGGTATGGTAGTAGGGGCCAGTTGCAACGGTTTGTGTCGAGAACTGCAACGCTGCTGGGTTTTTCATGTGTGTGTCAATAATGGTCCACCACCCAAAGGACATCCAGCCAACTTGACACAACTGTGGGAAGCATTAGAGTCAACATGGGCAATCATCCCTGTGGTACGCTTTTGACACCTTGTAAAGTCCACGCCCTGACAAATTGAGACTGTTCTGAGGGCAAAAGGGGGGGCTGCAACTCAATATTAGGAAGGTGTTCATAATGTTTGGTATACTCAGTGTACCCTCCATTAAGGGAATATTGAATTGTTGCACTGTTGGTTTGTTATATTCTACAATTCAACTGTAAATGCTGCCTCTTATACTTTACGTCAGGGGTGTATACTGACTTGCCAACCATAATATAGAAAGTGTAAGATCATGCTTTTGTACATTTGTTTATTGGTTCAGATGTATGCTGTATCTTGTCCTTTTCTCCCCTTTTTACAGCTTGAATCTTCATTTCGTCGTATTTCTATAATAAAGCTGTCAATGTATAGATTCTTTTTTTTTTAAATTGCACATTTATTGAAAATTAAACAGAAATATCTAATTTACGTAAGGATTCACACCCCTGAGTCAATTACATGTTAGAATCACATTTGGCAGCGATTACAGCTGTGAGTCTTTCTGGGTATGTCTCTAAGAGCTTTGAACCCCTGGATTGTACAATATTTGCACATTATTTTAAAACATTCTTCAAGCTCTGTCAAGTTGGTTGTTGATCATGCTAGACAGACATTTTTAAGCAGATTTTATGTCAAATCTGTAACAAGGCCACTCAGGAACATTCAATGTCGTCTTGACATTTTAGGTTATTGTCCAGCTGAAAGATTAATTTGTCTCCCAGTGTCGTTGGAAAGCAGACTGAACCAGGGTTTTCTCTAGGATTTTGCCTGTGCTTAGCTCTATTGCATTTTTTTATCACAAAAAAAAAGAGTGTGAAGAGTGGTA